GTATCATGATTCTCGAGAAAATGTAATAACCAAAGTCTCCTCCTATATTAATCCAAAACTCAAACAACAATACTTACCTTTTTGGCATCATAATGTAGCTTTACTATAAACATTTTCATATAGTGTAGTCCATTGGTGAACATAGTACCGCTACTATACATGATTTCAAATTGTTTCCATACTATTTACGTTGTCACATAGTCTAGTCCACCTACTCTATACACAGATATACATGTTACCAAACATATTACGATCTATACACAAATATACATGCGACACATATGTACTATACTACGGTTACAATAGTTTAGATTCTTAAGGTTAGTAATCTATGCACATATGTACATGTTAACGCAAGAAAGCAAGAGTAATAACCAAAGTCTACTCCTATACTAACCCATAAGTCGGACATTCTATACTACAAACACATATCTATAGACACATCATTATCCTCAACACATAAGTTGGTCCGAGAACCACAAATCGTAAACCCAAGTTTGAAATACATTCCGGCAACACCGTAAAATAATATTCAACCAACAACACAAGTCATAACCAACAATAATGTCACTTTTGGCATAATAAGGTATATCAGAGTACATGCAATTGGGTTTTGGGGGAAAGAAAAATTTTACCCAGTACCGAGAAAATGGTCGAACACAAACGCCGGATTTCTCCCGGAGGGAGTAAAATCGACAACTTAGTAAAGGTAATTACAAAGATTACCTTTCAGATTTTGATGTTTGTGACTTCGCCACCGACGATTCGTAATCCCACTCCGTCTCATTCAGTTAGACAAACCAACTCTCCACCATCGTCGTCTCCGATGTGGTGTCTCGGTGGTAAGACTCGTCGCAGATGTCTAAAGGCTCAACCGTCGGTAATTGTAATTTTGTAAGCGGAAAACTGAGTAATGATTTTTAAGATTACAGAATGAGGGAGAGGAAGATGTACACGCGCAGGAAAGGGGCATAATAGCCATTATATGCAATATTATGTATCATACCATACCCATGGGCTTACTATGGGTATGGAGTTTTTTTTTCTCCTAAACTAATTGTTACTAGGTGGCTTCCTGCATCCTGTGTAGAAATAAAAGTTTTAAAAATAAATTTATATTTAAAAATAAAATTTAATTAATTTTTAAATTGATTATTTTATTACATTGTTAATTTTACATTAATTATATGTAAAAATTAAGAGAAAATAAACAATTTTATTTAAATATATGACAGTTCTCTCAAATAGAACTTTTTTAGGTTTTTTCACAAAAATAGATCTTAAAACTAAAATGACAAAAACAACATATTTTATTTTGAAAATTTCAATTTTTTTTTTCTAAAAAAATTTGTAATCCTATCCCCAAAACCCTACTCCTCAACTTTAAACAAAAAGGCTTACGATTAGTTAACCCAAAGGATATAAGTGTATATTTACTTATTTTTGATAAAACATTTAAGTCTATCTTGGTCATTTTTATTTTAAGGTCTATATTTGTGATTAAAAATTTTTTTAGTTCTATCTTAAAAAAAAATTGTTAAATTTATATTTAATAATATATATGTATCTTTTATCTTTTGGTTAAATTATACTAAATCAGATTCTATACTATTAAGAGAAAATTTTGTTAGATATATAATTATCAAAATATAAAACTAAATAATATTTCTAAAATTTATAGATGTTAAATTATACTAAATCAGATTCTTGAGGTTAGTAATCTATGCACATATGTACATGTTAACGCAAGAAAGCAAGAGTAATAACCAAATTCTACTCCTATACTTACCCATAAGTCGGACATTCTATACTACAAACACATATCTATAGACACATCATTATCCTCAACACATAAGTTGGTCCGAGAACCACAAATCGGAAACCCAGGTTTGAAATACATTCCGGCAACACCGTAAAATAATATTCAACCAACAACACAAGTCATAACCAACAATAATGTCACTTTTGGCATAATAAGGTATATCAGAGTACATGCAATTGGGTTTTGGGGGAAAGAAAAATTTTACCCAGTACCGAGAAAATGGTCGAACACAAACGCCGGATTTCTCCCGGAGGGAGTAAAATCGACAACTTAGTAAAGGTAATTACAAAGATTACCTTTCAGATTTTGATGTTTGTGACTTCGCCACCGACGATTCGTAATCCCACTCCGTCTCATTCAGTTAGACAAACCAACTCTCCGCCATCGTCGTCTCCGATGTGGTGTCTCGGCGGTAAGACTCGTCGCAGATGTCTAAAGGCTCAACCGTCGGTAATTGTAATTTTGTAAGCGGACAACTGAGTAATGATTTTTAGGATTACAGAATGAGGGAGAGGAAGATGTACACGCGCAGGAAAGAGGCATAATAGCCATTATATGCAATATTATGTATCATACCATACCCATGGGCTTACTATGGGTATGGAGTTTTTTTTCTCCTAAACTAATTGTTACTAGGTGGCTTCCTGCACCCTGTGCAGAAATAAAAGTTTTAAAAATAAATTTATATTTAAAAATAAAATTTAATTAATTTTTAAATTGATTATTTTATTACATTGTTAGTTTTACATTAATTATATGTAAAAATTAAGAGAAAATAAACAATTTTATTTAAATATATGACAGTTCTCTCAAATAGAACTTTTTTAGGTTTTTTCACAAAAATAGATCTTAAAACTAAAATGACAAAAACAACATATTTTATTTTGAAAATTTCAATTTTTTTTTTCTAAAAAAAATTGTAATCCTATCCTTAAAACCCTACTCCTCAACTTTAAACAAAAAGGCTTACGATTAGTTAACCCAAAGGATATAAGTGTATATTTACTTATTTTTGATAAAACATTTAAGTCTATCTTGGTCATTTTTATTTTAAGGTCTATATTTGTGATTAAAATTTTTTTTAGTTCTATCTTTAAAAAAAATTGTTAAATTTATATTTAATAATATATATGTATCTTTTATCTTTTGGTTAAATTATACTAAATCAGATTCTATACTATTAAGAGAAAATTTTGTTAGATATATAATTATCAAAATATAAAACTAAATAATATTTCTAAAATTTATAGATGTTAAATTATACTAAATCAGATTCTTGAGGTTAGTAATCTATGCACATATGTATATATATATTGTAACTTTCTTTCTCTTTTACATAGATACTCTGTTTTTTAATATATTTCTCTATCTTACTCATTTCGTTTCTCCTTGTATTTTTTCACACATTCGTTTTGTTTCTTATGTATCTCTCTTTGCTTTATTTTTGTATGTCTTTGTACACTTTCTCTTCCTCTCTTTTTCTTTCTCTCTCTCTCTTAGTTGATCAAATAATCTCAAAATCTCTCAAACTTACATTCCCTCTCTCACAATCACATATATTAATTCGCTTACCCTCGTCTTTAATATGATCCTCGATATTTCACTTTAAAACTCTTTCTATCTCTCTTTGGTTGCAAATTTTTCACCAGATTTTGTTAAATCTTCTAAATACTTTCACATAATATTAATAAATGATTTCAGAATCTATCTCACTTATATTTAGTCTCTCACTTATATTCACTTTCATCTTCATTATGATTATAACCGACTCTCTAATCCTTATCATCACCATATCTCCCTCTCTTTCCCCCTTTCTTACATATTTTTTTTATTTAGAATTTAATATAAAATCACAATTTACTAACCAAATAAATTCATTATCAAATTCTCTCCAATCTTCACACTATCATATCAAACATTGATTCCTTTGACCAAGATTTTCATTGAAAAGTAGATATCTTATTATTAATTTTTTTTAATTACTTCTTTACATACATATTTTAAGTAAATCTAAATAACTGTATTTCAAAAAGTAAATTTGATTAAATAATTATATAACATAAAATATCTTAATTCTTAAATGATATGATGTCATTATTTTAGACATAGATTAATATAAACATGAGATTCAATAGTTTTAATATATCAAAATAACATGTTTCTAGTTGTATAAATTTTGTTATAACTTTGTTATCATATATTTTAAAAGTTTATTACACCACAAAAAAATACTTATCATTATTTTAAAATAATTTATTTTAAATTTAATTTGCGTTCTATTTTGCATCTTCAACATTAACAATTTTATAACTTATCATTTATATTTATCTTCCTTGCTCAATTTTTCTTTATGTTGTATAAACACCTAAAAATAATTAGTTTACAACTATATTGATACGTAAAAAATATTTTGGTATACAAATAAAAAATTATGTATGTACAAGTACAAAATAACGAAGAATACAACAAAAGGTTTTATTATTATTCACTCATGTTTTTATTTATGTAAAATCCTTTATATACTTATTTCTATAATATAATATGTATTTATATGTATATTCTAAGTTTTTATAATGGAATATGTGATATTTAATTGTTTCTATAAACAAATTGTATTAATCCTATGTATTTAAGATGGTTAATTGTTTGTTTGGTAATATATATTAGATTAGGTAATTCTAGGATTAGTTTCCTTTTAAAAAACTCTAATTAAATAAATAAAAATTCAAATGTCAACAACCAATCAAATTAAGAGAATTAGTTCTACATTGCACCTATGAATGACATGTAAGCAAAATTCATTAAAGTGACTTCTCTTTTAATATATAGGGGGATTTGTTTTCTTACCTAAAAGATACACGAAAGGTTTACTCAAGCATGCGATGAATTTTATAATTCACACAAGCATTTAACAGTTTCTCTCTTCTCATATACTCCCAAAACTTTAAAGTTAAACAAAAAAAAAAGATAAATTATGAAGAAGCTGATGGATCTTTAGCTTTCTCTGAAACTTCAAGCTAATGCCAAATTATCTTCAGATTCAGAAAAGATCAGAAGAGAATCCCAAAACCAGCCGACACTTTAAGATACAATCTTACTTCTTCTCTTTTTTTTTTTCTTTTTTTTTATTGTGTTTTCCTTTTTATCAGTATTATACTACTTTCCAAAGTCATCATGATCAATTCATCAGATTCAGAATTTCAAGCAGCAGCAACAGTTCCGTTGTACATGCATAATCACGAGATCTAGTTGGAGACGAAGAAGAGTTTCGTTGTTCTTTTCTCCTCATTGCTGATTTCACAGAATAAGACAGATTCTGTTTCTTCTCTTTTGCTTCATCTCTCTCTATATGTTCTTGTCTACACTCTTCACAGTTCTTGTCTACACTCTAAAAGTTTACCTATACATATAGATGTCTCTGTTATCACCAAGTGGTTTCTTACAGAGGAAACAAGAAGCCAAGAAATGAGGCTGTTGGTCATCGAATCTAACATCATGGAATCTTCCAGAAACAGAGTATTGAGGGTGATAATAACTTGGATGGTAGTTGTTATTGTAATAAGAGTCTGTTTTTATGAAACTGTTATTGTAATAATGACTTGGAACGACGCCGTTTCGTGGGTTTCCACAGTTTTTTTCTCTGGTGTTTAATATAGGGCTTATTTGTGAAATGGCCAAGAAAAAAAAAAAATTAGATTTTTAAACAGAAGTTAGAAAGAGATAGGAAGGAAACGTAAGAGAGAGGGAGTGATTTTAGCTACCGAGTGAATTAATATTTTTTGTAAGACCATAGAGCCATATTTCCCTTTAATATATGAGTAAAAAATTAGGGGCTAGATTTGAGAAATAGACAATTTGTGAGTAAAAAAACTTTCGTTGCTTAGTTCTGATTTCTGAATGTATAAAAAAATAGAAAATAACTTTTGTTATTTAGAAATTCACCCTATAGACATAAAAACAACAGAAATTCACAACAATCGTCTATTTAATATTTTCATAATTTATAATGCATAATTAATCTGTATTAAAAAACATAAAAAAAAACATTCACAAAATAGCAAACATTGTGTTCTCTCTCCTCCTTTATCTCTCTATCATTCTATATTCTCTCTCCTAAAATTTTAATTTCCTTTTTTCTCTAGCTATTTGGGAAGTAACGCTTTTGTTATTTGAGTTTTTTGTTATTTTCTACAAATAGTTTTATTGACACACGAAATAAATTGAGGTGTTAGAAAATATTTGATCCTAACTTAAGTTTTAGAGGAATTTTTGAAAGATCTTAGTTAAAGTAAAATTCTCTTTCCATATTTTATTTTCTTTTTTTTTTAATTTTATTATTACTTTGTTTTTCATGCTGGAACAGTAACAATATTAGTATTCATTTTCCCAGTGAAATCATAGTATAAAATTTCTGAAAGATAAATTAATATAGCTAAATTACATAACATGTTTAGGTAAAAATTTTGTAAATTAAAGCCAAGTTATAAACTTCTAATTAAACTTGTAACTGAATATAAGTAAATGGTTGCATAATTTGGTTAAAATGTATAAAATATTCAGTGGATAAAATAGCATATCCTCTATATATTAATTGAGAAACATTTTAAAAATGTAACCTTAAGTTTGTATAATTAAAAAAACTAGAATAAGACCGCAGAGTGAGTGTATGTAATTAAAATATAAGATTTTAGTATTCAAAAATTTAAAATTTACATATGACTGTTTTTATATGTATTTGGAATTTTGGAATTTCTATATAATTATCTATACGTAGGATCAGAAACAATTGTAGTTAGAACTGTAGATCAATACTTATAATTTAATGGGTCTGGTTCATATTTTTTTCACTTTTCAATGTTCGAGAGATGGAAAATAAACGGAGTGACACATGGCTTAATTGGTAGATCATTATCAATCCCTAATGGTTTTTTAAGAATCAATTGGTAAATATTCACATTTAGAATATAAAACTAAGTTAATATAATTTATTTATTTGTCTAATAATATGAGAAAGTTATATTTTGAAAAATTAATTTTTAAATAAAAATAATTTTATAAAAAATTAAGTTAAATTTTAAATTATAATTATGTTTAAAATAAAATTATTTATCATGATATGAGATATATATATATATATACATATATATATACATACATATACATATATATATATATATATATATTAAAATAAACACCTATTAAAATAAAATTATTTATTCATATGATTTTATAATCATTGTAACTTAATATAGAAAAAAAATTTAGACTTTGATCACAAAAGTTTATGTGAGATTTTTAACAGTTTTAGTAATCTATACTCGTTTTGAAATTTTCAAAATACAATATATATAAAAAGGTCTATATTTTATTATATGATTAGTGTAGTTGTGCAATTTATTTTAATAATAAAATTTTTTAAAAATGATATAAAGTATACAGATTATGTTAACAAATCTTTATTATCTATAATATTAAAAGAAAAGACACCCTTGAAAAATTGACTGATGGAAGTTGTCTGCACCCTCGTTAATGACATTTTGGTAATTTTTTTTGGGCTTACAACTATATATATATATATATATCGATTTGTTACAAATCATATCAAATATTACATATACCCGAATTATTCTCTTTCTTCCATTAATTACTCTAACCATATTTCATTCTATATTTCATACATTTATACTGTGTTATACACCTTATATTACACGATTTAAATCTATCATTATAATTTTTTGGTTGATATTTTTTTGTATATGCATCATATATCGATGATATGATGCTATATTTCATATATTAATATTTTTCATATAGTTGTACTACACCTTATATTTCAAACACTATACTTTATAAATCCATATTACTCTACCATGATATGATGGTATATTTCATATATTAAGATTCTCATATAGTTGTACTACACCAAAGACTATATTATATAAACTCGTACTACACTGGCCTACACTTTGTAGCCAGTGTAGTTGATTGTAGACCTTATATCACATGATTTCAATATATAGATTTCCAACATTATAATTTTTTTGTTGACATATTTTGGTATATACATCATATATCGATGATATGATGCTATATTTCATGTATTAATATTTTCATATAGTTGTATTACACCTTATATTTCAAAGACTATACTTTATAAACTCATATAGCTCTAACCATGATATGATGCTATATTTCATATATTAAGATTCAAAACACAATTGTACTACACTTATATTTCAAAGACTATATGATATAAACTATACTACACTTTATATTACATATATTAAGATTTTGCTATAGTTGTAGGCATTTGTTAATGTATTATATAATATATTGTCTATATCGACATTTTCATGAGTTTTGCATACTATATCAACCATTTTTTAGTGTCTCGCTACTTCTATCATTTATTTCATACCTCAAAACCATTTTAAATATAAGGAAAATGGAGAATCTATTCAAATGTCCATCATTTCATGTTTTTAAGACATTTGAGAATGAAGAATCCATCTAAATGTCCTTCATTTCATGTTTTTATTTATATGTCGATATATCATCATTCTCATGGTGACATTTAATGGACGAGATACGTTTTGTTAAGAAAATATTGCAAAAACTATTTTCTATAATTATCTTCCTACTAAAATAAATAAATTGCTTAATCTACAAGTTTATAGATTAACCACAATCAATATCGTGGTTATTTATTCTTTGGTTGGATTCCATAAATTTTGGTAACTTATTGTAGTTGGATTACCATTAACTGTTAAACTTCAAACTTCCTATCTAATTCAAAATATCTTCAAGAAATATTCCTTATTCCTCGAAAGAGATATTTTTTAAAAAAAAAATCGTCTAAATATTTTGCCCTACATTTACGTAACCTAAATGTATATCGTCCCTACCTATTATAAATATAGCCTCTCTTAACCACTATATTCATCATTCCTTGAAAAACCTAAAACAAAATGACGAATAATTTGCAGTTGTCTTTCTTGATCGATATAAAACCGAGGAAGACTGCATGTCGTATCCAAGTCAAAATCCTTCATACATGGAGACATTTCATGAAATACATATGGAAGACCATGGAACTAATTCTTTGTGATGCAAATGTAAGTTTATCATTTTATATAGATTTATGATTTAGATATCTTCATTTTGTAAGTTTTATATATTTAATATAATAGAAATATGCCTATAAACATATTGATTTATAACTTGATATGCAATTCTATTAGTGGTCAGAGAGTAGCTTGCTGTCTTTGGGGTAAATTTGCTGAAAATCTTCATACAACTAGCCAAGAAACAGAAGGCATGGTGATATGTCTTCTATGATTTGCTAAGATTGAGCAATATAGAGGTATTCCTTGAAAATGAAAACTCTGTTTCGATTTTGTACTAAATGACTATTGTTTATATAGTTGGAAATATGTTTCTACTAACTCAATGTTTTGATCATTCCTTCCATTTTCTGTTTTATGTCAGAAGAAATTACTCCAATGCTTATGATTTATTTTTGGTTATAGGTCAGGTCCAAATCTCAAATGCTTATGATGTAAGTATGGCTGCGAATCTGAGTCATCACCCGCGGGTCCTGCCCTGTTTGACCCGGTGTGGGGCAGGTGCAGGTCAAACAATTTTAAAAAATTGAGTGGCAGGTGCGGGTGCGGGTTATGAGTATTTTATGCGGGGCAGGTGCGGGTTGGTAGATTTTGAATCGCGGGTTTAGGCCATGGACCCATCCAATTTTGGTTTCAATTTAATATGTGTTTTAATTCTTCATACTCCCACAACACTTAATTTTCTGATTCTCTGTTCAACCAAAAACTAACTCGGTTATGCAAAACTCAATGAAAATACTCTACTAAAAAGTTAAATATACGTCAAATTTCACATATAAAACTATCATATTATAGATATCGAATCATTTGATACATTTTGTTACAGCCAAAACAAAACCCACGCTTCTCAAGCGTGAGTCAAAAACTAGTTTAAAATCATTAATAGTCATATATATATCTTAATTACATTAGGTAATTCCACATGTTTTATTTAAGGAAAGAATATAGAGGAGATTTAGTTTGATATGTTATTTAGTGTGATATGTCTTATATGAGACCAACAGATTTTGTTTTAAAACTATAATTTATATGAGGTGCTCTAGAATTCTTTCAATTAGAATTTCAAAGAGAACTGCCACATAAGATATGATTTTTTTTTTAATTAGTACAAAATTAAGGTTGTAACCTTTTAAATAATCCTCAATTAATATATAGGGTATTTGGCATGTGAATTTAAATCAAACGATTATTCTTATTTATTAACAATCAGTTTATGGTAAATAAATCAACACAATCAATTTTATCCATCATATATTAGATACAA